GCTGGAGCTGGAGTAACAGCTGTGTTTGGGCTTCTGGAAGGAGTGAGGGGAATGGGCCCTTCAGCCCTTACAATAATATACTTGATATCTTAGATTGACTTATAAAGTTTTTGTATACCCGTTTGAAAGCAAACAGTCTCAATCAAGTGAATCAACTCTTTATTTTCCTACTTTTCTGAAAGTTTTTACTCTGTTCCGATATGCCGTTTTAAATGATCGAATGTGAGCGGCCTTGATATCCCATCTAGTTTTAATAGCATTGTAGCGTTACATGTATACATTTGAGACAATTATAATGTTCTATTTCTGAACGTGTAGAATATTATTTAGGTTCTGCGTGGGGGATTTTGCCATTTATAATGTTTTTTACACTTTTCATACTTAATTTCTATCATGTATCTTATCTACTTCCTGTTCATTTTTTGCAATATTAATTTGAGCAGGAAAAGAGTGGAAAAGTAAAATTCTCATTTAATGTTGAACTTTGATACCAGGTATTTGCTCAAGATTATTGAAACTGGAGAGAATGTCCGCCTGCAGTACCGTTCTCTTAGGAAGCTCTTAACAGCGGACCAGTGTCCCCCACAACCAATTCAAAATAGTAGCTCTTAAAATGGATTTATTATTATAGGTTTTCTTTCTTTTTTCCTCCACCAGAAAAAAAAAAGAGAGAAACTTTTGTAGTGTTTGAAGCAAAGAATGACTTGTCTGGTCTTGATCTGTGATTGTAAAGAGGTAATATGACTGGTCCGGCTCCTTACAGCGCGTGATAGAGGTTTATGTAACTTTTGATGTATCAACGAGGTTATTTGTGTAGATGGTAATGCTAGGTCGGCTTATAAGTATTGTAAAGAAAGCAGGCAAAGATAAATTAGACAGAATGTAAATTGTAGCTGTTATTGAAATGGATCATAAGTTTAATTTTTTGTTGCCATAATTCAGTTTTTGTAGAATGAGTTGTTTCTGTCTTCTGTGTTTTAATATCTACGAACTCGAAGCTGTGAATACCTAAATTCTTATTTTATATCACGCAACTTAACGTGGACAATTTTTATAATTTGGATTGGAATCTATCGAGAGTAGTCTGCTCTTATTTTTTTGCTGCTGAAAACTTTCTTTTAGGAAAATTTTCGATAAAAGTATCTTTGAAAAGCGTATTCTCTATCAATCAGTTCAATGTCAATGCCTATATTCACTTACTGACAAATTATTCAAACTCTACAAAGGAACGTGCTTACAAAACATTAACAACCATTAAGATCAATATACCCCGTAATTTGAAACAAGTTTGTTATAAATTTAATATGAATGTTTTTCTTACATTAACTAGTATGAATGCTTTTCTTATATGTACTAATTTTACATCAATATGAACAATTGAAAAAAGAAGGGAAGAACCAAAATTATTGTTGCCTAGCCCTGATGCCAAGTTGCCATCAGAAACGTTAGAAAATGCATCTGGAGATGTTAAAATCCAAGTATAATAAAATTCCAAACTAACGAAATTCACAAAAAGTGGTGGTCCTGCGGCTGTGGACTTTTCCCAAGCTGTATCTGAATCCAGTGACTAGCTTAAACTCACCAATGCTTTCCATTCTATTTGTAGATCCACTCGTTGGCACGAGCACCTGACTCATCCATATCTATAAAAATGCTTACTGCCTGCAGCAAATAATTATATATTACAACATGCACATACCAGTTTTTCTTGTCTTCCCAGCCAAAACTTATGTATAGGATTATTGTCAGTGTAAAAAAACAAAAATCTCGATTCAAAATTGCACATCCTTCGGAGTTTTTCATTTTTTTATAGATCTTCTTATTTATTCATTACCAGTGAGCTTTGCATCGAGCAGCCACTGTTTTATTGTTTTTGTTATGTGTGTCTTCTGTCTTTTCTAAGGGTGTGTGTGTGTGTGTGTATATATATATATATATATATATATATATATATAATCCTTTCACCATACAAAATCTAGGTAATAGTATAAAAAAGAAGAGCATAATTTTACCTTCCCTATTCGAGGTCGTTCCTTTGACTTTTCTAGGCTGTTCCGAATATGTGAGACAGCTCCCCAGCATTTCAAGGTGTTTGCAACATCGTCAAGCCTCAAAATATACTCTTCTTCAGTCAATGGGAAAGATCTCTAATAGAAAAACGATATTGGACATACCGAAATACATTATTACGTGGATAACTTCATCGTATACAACCACTTCCATAGTAATACAAAAAGCTTTTAATAACCATTTACTTTAGAGCACAACCAAATGCATGGTTTGAGTACTAAAACTACTTTATACCAATACTATCTATGAAATTGAAATGGTAGAAACTTTTGCCTCTTTTTCTTCTGTGCCCCTTTATAAACTAATATAAGGCATAATAAGCTGTTTTCATTTGATTATTGCAACATGGTCAGCTTGAATGAATTCCCTCAGAATTAGTTAGTGTGGCTGTTGGGTAAGCGAAAAGTGCAGGAACCATTCTTTATGCAAGAGAAGTCAATAACAACATCAACTCATTATGACAAAAATTATAGGGAAAAAAATTGTGTCTAGTATTTTCCTTTTTCTTTCTTCTTAATATCCAATGAATCGTACATTTCATTTTTTGGAATCTACTCAAGTCATGTATTTATGCCAAGAAAACACTGGATAATACATAGCACAAAAGTTCAAATACCTGCTCCATGTACTTCCACATTACATTCATTGCAAGGAGATTTCTTCCCATGAATTCCTAGCATAGAAGATCAAACTATGTCTTAGTTCAGCAATTTATCCAATTTCAAAGAATCAAGCAAACACCAAATAGCTGATATAATGCTCCAAGGACTTCATAAGTAAAATGTGAAAGTAGGAAACAAACATCAAATACGCATATGAAGTTTCAAGAACAAGGACAAAGATATAATTTGAAGGAAACAGATAATGCAACAAAATTCAAGAACAAGGATGCCAGTAACTTCTGAAATTGGTTCATACATGGCAGGTAAGCATATCCAACTCTTTTAACAATACAATTTCCTTTCTCCCACTCTAAAGGAAGGTGGGATGGAATGAACCTACTTTTTAATTAAACATACTGCAGGATATAATTATTAATTACAAGATTCAACTCTTTACCATCAGAATTTTTTCAACCGCAAGCATTTTAACAGATAAATAGAAACATACATGCTGTAAAGTGAGAAAAGGTGGAAATGTGCACTGTGATTTGATCCCTATCTGCATGTCTATGAACAACACCACCATGCATGTTTCAGTATTTCGAAGTGTATGCCTGATAAACAAATGCAATCTGGATGGAGTTGACAAGAGGATATATCAGCTCGTTAATGGAATTTTTCCTGTTGGCAATTCTATGCAAGAAAAAACAGCAAAATGCTATTACCAACTACGTGTGCTGGATAATTCTCTTCATTTCTCAATAATTGTACTTCGGAATAAAAAAGCTATTATATATGTTGCATTTGTCATGCAGGACATGAAAATCTCACACACAATTCCACCTGTTTAGAAACTTACCTTCTTTATCAACTGAACATCATAAGACCTCCCATATTTGTTCCTAATGAGAGTAGCAAGGTCAAATCCACTAAAAGTGGAATCATCTCTTCCAACTATTTTCTCGAGGTTCTCTCTAAGAATTTCACTGTTCACCTGATGCATATTTCAAAAAGAGCCAGAATCAGATGTAGATACAGTAATGGAAAGTTAATACTTAATCATTATTCTTAGGACTGAGTCTGGATTTAATCAATTGGAAAACAACTCCTACATAAATGTAAATTCATCAAAACATAAAATCAAGGATACGAGAAAGAATTTGCTTAAATATACAACTATATTCCATAAAGAAAACTAGAAAAAGGAGAATGAGGTAAGAAATATAGGAACTAAGACAGAAAGGTTGACAAATTAAACGATAGAAAAACTGTATTTCTAACATATAATTTCATGAGTAATGATACTTTAGAGGAACGGAAAAGAATGAAAAGGATAGAGGCAAAGGAAGAGCAAATGCTTTAGGTGCCAACATGTTGAAATAGAGTAGAATGTAATGAATTACATGTATAACAGAAAACTGAAAAGTGTACATACTCCACCCATTTCACTGTTCTGGGGTTTGTTCTTATCAATTTCATCTGAATCAGAGGCATCCATATTGTTGCTTCCTGAACTGGAAAAAATGGGTCTGCATTTTCTGGCACTGTGACCATATTTTTGAGCATGGTATCCAACATTAAGCAAGTCCAATCCTCTACAAAATGGAGCCTTATTAATGCTTGTTTTGTCAGGATGATCTTGAATTCTAAGGGGCCAAGAACACTGGTGGGTGGACATAATGTTCATCGTGTCCTGCACTGGCTGTTATTCAAAAATACATGGAAAGAGGGAAAACTGTCAGCAGACACAAAAAAAGAAGAGAACAGACATACTTGTTTTCAAATCTAAACCCTACACAAACTTCTTTTTCTTCTTTTTTTAGACAAATGACAAAATGGGTATTTAAAAGTAGATCAGAAACATCATGAAGCAGATACAAAATTTGATAAGACCAGTTGACGATTATAGCAACAAAAGGCAGGGATAATAGTAGACAGACAATTTTTCGTCTGATCAAATTGACCAGCTTATAAGCAGGAATTTAGTTAACTAACATCATCCTGACTCCGATTAAAGAGATCATCTTATGTTTTTCCCAAATTCTACTTTAAAACCAAGACAGTCATATTACAGATATGAATAGAAAATGCTAGTTCGATATGGAAAGTTAATATGTTTTGGTCTTTTCCTTTCACAAGGCAATACTAGATTTCCAATGGAAGATTACAAAAACTCTGTAGTACAAACCAGAAATAACACCTATATTCCTTTACATCTACATGTGGTAAATCATCAATAGCTTTATCGAACATGTAAAGTGCATGTAGAGAGCAAACCTGGTAGTGTTCGTGAAAGACAGAAAAACAGAAATGTTTTTTAAAAGGGTTTGTGTTTGTTGGTGTTGATGGAATATTAACAAAAGCTTAAAAATGTTAATGACCTGAGAGTGTGAAAGAGATAAACTAAGAAGAACATAATGTGGATATTGAAGGTTGTTCTGGAATTAAGAGAACAAGCACCTCACGTTTTGGTTGTAAGCAAAGCCAACCACAAGTTGCCATGTGCAAACCTCGTGGTTGCTTACGCATTCCTAACACTGCACGGGAAAAAAACATGTCTTACGTTTAATAAGGAGCCACGTCTCCTCACAGTCACGCGCCTCCACGCCACAACATATTATTTTGCCGAATGATATTTTCACACCAAAAAGTAAGTTTTTAATTATTATCTCCAGTTTCGCTGGACAATGTTAAATTAGTCTATTCTTTAAAAAATGCGTTAATTATGTCTTTACAAAATGCGTCAATTACGTCCTTACTTATTTATATCAATACTTCCACCTCAGTACGAATTTAACGGAAGAGATTTCATTGATATAAATTTTATTAAATAAGGACGTAATTGACGCACTTTTTAAATGATGGACTAATTTGACATTGTCGAACAAAACTGGAGACAAAATAGGGTATTAAGCCCTTAAGAATTTAAGGATGATTTAAGTTTCATATTTCATATTAAATAAAAATAAAAAAAATCAAGAAAGTAGAACATCATATCTATAAATTTATTATCTTAAAATTTTGAATTAAAAATAATGTCAACATTTTTCATTTCATGATAATATTAAATTTAACTTTTTTTTTCTTGTGATTTCCTTTTACGGTTTTTTTATGATAATTCCACTCCTATATTAAATTGTCAAATAGTTCTTTGTTTGGATCAGATAATTTTTTTATACATGAATTTATCCATTAAAAAATCATTTTAAATTAGGGTTAAATATGTTTTTAGTCCCTAAACTATTGGCCATTTCTGGTTTTC